TGAGCCGGGGGCGCCCGAGGGACGGGGCGCTGAGCCGGGGACCCCGCCGCCTCCAGACGACAGGCCACACTCTGGTCCCCTCACTGCACAGGAGGTGCTCTGGGCTCCAGACAGCCCTTCCCGGAGACATCAGGGCTGCAGGTCAGGAAGACCATGTGCCCCGCAGCCCAGGCTGGCTCCCGAGGACCACACAGGCTGTGCCCCACCTACTCACGTGGTGGCGGGGGGTGGGACACCTCCGAACGCAGGGACAAGGAGGAAGCAGCGGGCACACACGGTGACAGGATCCTCTCGGGCCTCGTTTGCAGCTGCCCCCGCGTGCACTGACCCCACACACCTGCTCACACAGGTCCCAGCAGCCCACCCGACATGGCCGCCCGCCCCAGGCCTCGCTGCTGTGCCCGCGATGCAGCCGTGACGGTGGCGGGCGGCCACGTGAGAGCACCCACCTGCCTTCCTCGGTCCCCAGGCAGACCGTGGGGACGCCCGGTGCTCTCCCTGCCGTGGCCTCGGGCCCCGCGGTGGCACTGGGCTCCTGGCCGTCCCCCTCCGCGGGGACGTGCACCATGCACAGGATGCGGGACTCCACGTTGAAGCACTCGATGACTTTGGAGTTGGAATTTTGAAGCGAGACGATGGCAATTTGGCCCATTTGACTGGTACAGCTTCCGATCTGAGTCGGGGAGCGGAGGGGAGAGGAGGGTCCTCAGAAAGCCGAGACGTGGTGCGCGCAGGCAGCGACCAGCCAGCGGTGACGCGTGCGGCCTGCCAACCCAGCCCCCTTTCCTCTCCGACACACCTACTTAGACCATTTCCTTTTCATTTTAATACTAAGAATGCAATTTTGACTTTTTAAAAATCACTTATAGTCTTTAAAAAAACCACACACCTTGCCTTAGACAACACTTTCCGTACACGATTTAAAGTCTCATAAAGCAGATTAATGCCGGTTTTGAACCATTTCACACTAAAGTGCAATAGGCCTCACCTACGACGACAGTGCTTCAGGAAAGGAGTAAGAACGGCCCTCGTGGGCCACCGCCCTGTCCCCCGTGGGCCACCGCCCTGCCCCCGAGCTGGCGCTGCCACCACCGTGCCCCAGGCCTGCTGATGCTTTTACCGTGGGCCACCGCCCTGTCCCCTGTGGGCCACCGCCCTGCCCCCGAGCTGGCACTGCCACCACCGTGCCCCAGGCCTGCCGATGCTTTTCCAGTGGGAAAGCGTCAGATCTCGTTGACAGAGGGACTGACGGGGAGGCGCGCACCCGGCTCGCGTGAGGGGCTGCCCGGCTCGGGTGTTCATTCCCTGCAGACTACATTGCCCTTCAGCCAGTTGTGGAAACGTGACCCTCTCCTCATTCCGTCTTTCCCGTGTTACAGGAAGCATCCTGCTCTGACGGCCTTCCGGGGACGATGCCACGCTGCCACGGCCCGCTCTGGGGACGGGGCCGGGAGCGGCCGGCAGAGGAAGGTGGCACCAGTTAGTTACAGGCCCCATTCGTGAAACGACTCTCTCTCCTCGGCCACACCTAGCCTGGCGCAGCCTTACGGACGCCCTCGACCACTGGGAACGCCCCCTTTCCCGCTTTTGCACTGAGAAGCAGCGGGGACGCGCTGGGCCACCGCCGCCCCCTCCGGCCACTCCCACGGGCTGGACGTGGGTCGGGGCCGTGAGAACAGAGAGGCGGCTCACCCACAGGAAGCCGCGGGCCGGGGCAGTCGGGTCGGGTGGCTGGGGCTCGGGGTTGTAGGCTGCACACTCGATCTGGAGGGAGAAGCAAAGGCCCGCGCTGAACGGCCCGGGGAGCGTCAGGAGGACGCGACGACCCCCACACGCAACCCCAGAACTGCAGGTCACGACTCAGAAAGACGCAGACGGGGGGGACTAAGGTGCGGGCCCCAGACGCCGGCTGCCCAGACGCCGGTGCGGCCCGTCGGCCCCAGTGTTTCACGTGCAGACTCCGGCATCTGCGGGCCCGACGTCCGGCACGTCCCAGGCGCTGGGCCGGGTGGTGGCGGGCGCGTCCGCACGGCCACACAGCCACACCTGCCCTGTCCCTGCCCACCTCCCACCTCTGCCTCCATGGAGCGGCCCCCAGCTGTGGGAGCCACGGGGACACGTGACCGTGAGGGTCCCTCAGTCACATGCCCGCGGGGCCCACAGGGAGGGGCCGGTGACTTCTCAGTGGTGGCCCCGAGCGGGACAGCGTCCCCTGGCTGCTCGCGGCCGTCACCTTGAACTCCTGCTGCTTGGCCACCGTCACCGGCACATGTCCCACGAGGAGAGGGTGGCGCTCCTTTCGGACCTGGTTCCCCTCGTCCTCCACGCAGAACCAGCCCATGTGGTTCTCCTCCCCTGGGCGTGGGGGGGAAGCAAGGGCAGCGGTGACGGGCACGCAACACGGGCTGACGGCCCGCAACACGCTCCGTCCGCAGCCCAGGACGACCCCTCCCCACAGGAGAGGCTGTGCGCCCGGCCACACCGAGTGACGCCCCCGTCCCCGCCGGCTCCCCCCGGACCACCCGACACCGCGCCGCGAAGCACGCTGTGAAACGCCGGGGCCTGGTCTTCCCGTCATGTTCGTTTTCATTTTTCCCCAAGTAACTGACGTTCAGATTCAATGACCAGACACAGAGCGAGAGGCTTGTAGCCTGAGTAGGACCAGGGGAGAGAGAAGAGCCGCGAAATGAAGGCGCCAGCACTGAAGACGTCGACGACCTCGGCGGAGACGCGCGGCCGTCACAAACAAAGGGAGCCGTGCTCAGGTCGGGGGCCGTCTCCGCTGAGTCAGGGAAGAGGCGCAGTGTGGCCGCCTCCTGCCCCGGCCGACACCGTGCACGCACCCGTGCACACACACGCACACACACGCGCGTGCACCCGCACCCGCACACGCATACGCACACGTGTGTGCACGCACACATGCACACGCACATACACAAGCACACACGCACGCATGCGCCCATGCACATGAATGTGCGCGCACACACATGCACACGCACACGCACGCGCACGCACACATGCACGCACACACGCATACACACACGCTCACACACATGCACACACATGCACACGCACCCACGCACCCACGCACATGCACACACACATGCACAAGCACACACACGCACATGCACAAGCACACACAGATGCGCCCATGCACACACACATGCACAAGCACACACACGCACATGCACAAGCACACACAGATGCGCCCATGCACACACACATGCACAAGCACGCACAGATGCCACCCCCATACACGCACACACTCACGCACATACACAAGCACACATACGCGCACACACGCGCCCATGCACATGAATGTGCGCGCACACACATGCACATGCATAAGCACGCACCCATGCACACGCATGCACGCTCACACACATGCACACACATGTGCACGTGCACATGCACAAGCACGCACAGATGCCACCCCCACATGCACGCGCACACACTCACGCATATGCACACACACACACACACATGCATGCACACGTCCCAGTGTTCTAAGTAGCAGGACCGTGGGACCCACTTACACGCACACACGTATCAGAACGGGCCCCGGTTGGATACACCGAACGAGGTGAAGCTGAGGGACGCGGGAATGTCACCATCTCTGACAGCGCCCGTCTCTCGGGCCGGACAGGACAGCCCCACCCTGTGGCTTAGCTCGCAGGGGACAGGTGAGGAAGCCGAGGCTGCCGTGAACCGTGGCCTTCCCGCGTGGGGACCCAGACCGACGGGTTACAGACCGAGGGCCCAGGGCTGGACGCCTGACGCAGGCCTTCTGCTTGTGCCGAAGAGCCTCAGCTGGCGTGACTGTTATGATTGAAGTGAGGGCTCCCTCCTGCACCCCAGAGCATGACACGAACCCCCGACCAGCCCCTGTGCCGGGGCCAACCCCCATTTAAAGTCATTCTTGGGGGTGGGTGGTGACCGCAGCGTCACGTGCTTCCCGACCACGACCGGCCCCGTGGCCAGGGAGGCCTACCGAGCGCCAGCTGGGCCATCTGCAGGCTGTTGACCCACGAGTCCTTGACGGCGGGCGTGAAGGTGCTGAACACGGCCGTGAAGAAAGCGGGCCGCCCTGACCTGCGGGACACCGCAGAACGCTCGTCACAGGACGAAGCCACAGGCGTGCCCGGCCCGCAGCCACCGCGCCCGCCGCGCCCGCCGCGCCACTGACTTGTCGGG